TGCTTCCAAGAGCATTAACGTGAAGTGAACACAAACTACCTCAGATGTAATTTAAACTTGGCTTGCTAATTGCATTTTTCATGTTATTAACAGTTACTCCATCCTACATATCCTTTTAACAAATGTCAATCCATAAAAATAAAAGCTTTCTTACCTTTTTCATATCTCTCTCTCTCTCTCTCTATATATATATATATATATATATATATATATATATAGCGTCTCCGCAAAAATGATATAATTTAAAATGCAAATATCTGAATAACTACATGTCTCAGTCAAACAAAATTAAATAGGCTTCATGTTGAACAATAAAAGATTTATTTATCAAAATTCAAACAAGATATTCAAAGGGATGTAGATTTTATAACCAATTTCACAAAACTTCACAAATGTTCAATATGTACACCACCTGTAGCACAATACAGATCAAGTCTGTAGACCAATTCCTGTCAAACATGCTGTAGCATGTCTTGTGTAACATTCTCCAGCATCTCAGTGATTCTCTGCTTAAGTTTCTCTAGGCTTGTACGAAGAGTAGGGATACAAACCTGTCCTTTCACATAGCCTCATAGAAAAAAATCACAAGTTGTCATTTGAGGTGAACATGGTGTTCATTTCAACAGCACATTGTCATTATCACTGGCCCACCCGATTTATCTTCCTAGTAGATTCGCATTGAGATAAGTCTGCACAGTCAACTTAGTTTTTACACATTTTGTTAATATTTGAGATCATTTGAGTGAGAATTAGCTATTAAACTACTAAATGATGTCAATTGTTGGTGGACACCCTATATATACATACATATATGCATACATACATAATATATATATATATATATATATATATATATATATATATATATATATATATTGTTACGTGTTGATAATTGTAACAAAGGAAAAAAATGATTTGCCACAACACAGAGCTAAATCACAAACAAATATTTAATTTACTAAAGCAAAACATACAAGATAAACAATTGTGGCCTACAAAACAGAAAACACAGACTTACTGGCGAAGCGCTATGAGGGAGAAGGAAAGGGAGTCAAATATCTTTATCACTTTAGGGCTCACGAAATAATCTAAGTGCTATAATTGAAAATCCACAAAGGTGTGTAAATAAATATTAATTTTTTGTTTGGTCAATGAAAATTAGTCAAAATTTTATTTACCAAATTTGTTTCATGAAATTCTCTTTTGGGTTTTGGTTGGTCGGCAACTTTTTATAGAGATTCTTTCGGCTGGATTATATCCTTGAATCAAAAGCCGGAGTTGATAACAGCAGAAATTCCTATTCATCAACTGACAACCCTTTTTCCAAAATCCCATTTTTATAGGGGCTAACACCTAATTTGCATATTTCTAGATGTTTCTCGAATCCTCTAGATTTTTCTCGAATATACTAGAATGATCTAGAATCTTCCAAACATTCTATTTCTAATTTCTCTGTTTTACAACTACTTCATGAATGAAAACTTTTTTTGTAATAAGTAGAACTCAGTGGAATCCCTTCTTATAGAAATGCATACTCGTAACAATATATATATATATATATATATATATATATAAGGCTCAAGCATTAATATTCCATGGTTATAATTTATTACATTGGAATTGTAATCATGATCCAATTCATCAGACCTACAAATTCAAAAAGAATCGGAAAATATAACTCTGTGTATAAAAAACAAAATTTTAGTGAGAGTGTATGTGTAGGAGTGGGAAACAAGCATGAGAGGGAAATGTATTAAAGCTCTAGAGAGAGAGGTAACAGAAGAAAGAAGAACAGGAAAGCCTTAAGGTGAGGGTAGGGAATAAAATTTTAAAGAGAGAAGTTAAATAATGGTTTAAATGAGTGAGATGCAGATAAATGAGTTATTATCAGATGCATATATCTATCTATCTATCTATCTATCTATCTATATATATATATATATATATCTATTTATATATATATCTATATATATCTCTCTCTCTCTATATATATATATATATATATATATATATTATATATATATCTATATCTCTCTCTCTCTCTCTCTCTATATATATATATATATATATATATATATTTATATATATATTATATCTATCTCTCTCTCTATATATATATATATATATATATATATATATATATATATATATATATATATATATATTTATATATATCTATATATATATATATATATATATATATATATATATATATCTATTTATATATATATCTATATATATATATATATATATATATATATATATATATATAAACATTATTTTTAGTGGATATATTTAAGTAGATGTTCTATTTATTTTTTAAACAGTATATTTATTTTTTATCTACTGGCCTGAACATTTGAAGAATCTTATTAAAGTAAAAAAATGTGTTCTTTAGTAGGATTCAAATCTATGTTCACCTTTGAAGAAGACATCCCTGTTATTTCAAAAAGTGAAATGTCAACAAGCCTTGACATTGAGATGTTTTACTAGAGAAAAATATACCTCCAGACAGGAAATTTTTAAGGACATGTGCTTTACAAATTAGGCAATGTAGCGTAATTGGTAAGGCACACTTTCGCTAAAGAAGTGGTTTTCTTGATGGAAAAAAAAATCAATTCCTGTCTGGAGGTACAAATTTCTTTGATAAGAACTTCCTAATCTCTAGAACAGGTGACAATAATTTCTCTGTTTAAAATAGCAGGGATATCAACTGAAACACCTGTACCTACTAAAAATAACATTTATAGTAATAAGATATAATACTGGATTACAATATCCATTTAAAAATTATATAAAATGTTTTGTTGAATAATATTGACAAGTTCTGTCTATCCAAATTTCCAAATTAGTATTATTTAATTGTTAAATTTACCAAAGTTCATATTTACTTACATTAATCTTATTTTCACCCAAGTACATTTGACTGTTGTTACGTTTGTTTTCAAGGATTTTTGTAGGTTTATCTGGCTGTTTTTGACTAATTCTGGCATTCACATTTCTGCTGGAACAAATTTCATTTAAAACCATTAAATAAAGTATCTTTCTCCATAGGGGATTTTATATTGAAATGTGTATTAAAAAATAAAATTAAAACACACTTGATGACATCATTGTGAGTGACTTGAAATGATAATTTTTTTCATGGATTTAAATATATATATATATATAATTATATATACACAAATCTCTCTCTCTCTCTCTCTCTATATATATATATATATATATATATATATTAAATAATTAAGAAAGAGACAACCTTAAGGTTCCATGACTATAATTTATTTTCCCAGAAAATATATTTTTCCTGGTTCATCAGGTTACATCTCTAGTTACAAAGTAATTTGGTTTCTTTTATTTTTAATACAAGTTTTTGAGTGATAGTTTTAGATTGATATAAGGTGACAGAGGTGGTGGGAGGGGGGAGGTCTACAGAATGTTCTGTCTTGGAAATGGAAAGTAGGGATCAGTTTGTTTTTAAACCATCTTTAATAATTTACGTAGGTTCAAGTGTACTCAGTTAAGAGGCCAGACAATTTGACCTCTTAAATGATTTTTAGACAAGAAGAGAAAAGAAGAAAGAAAGAAGACAAGCAAGTGAGGAGGAAGGGAGGAAGAAGGAAGAGTGAGTTATCATTTGTAGTCATATCACGGTGACACTTGAAAAACCCATCAATATAATTTATAGTTAATACATAAAGTATTAAAGATTAACAGCAAAGTAGAAATAAAATAAGATATTAATAATATTATTAATCCTTTATTTACATTATTCGGACTATATTATAACTATATTTATTACAAAGCTTTGGTTGTTGTACGCCCCGGCCTTCTTCAGGTGGTTGGAATGTCGAGCGTACAATGGCTGAAATGTTGTAATAAATATGGCGACAAAGATGAGGACAATAGTCTGAATAATGTAAATAATATACATAATACCTCATCTCAGAAATATTGACAGATTATTAATCCTGATTAATACAATTGCAATTAATATAGGACAATATATTAAAGATTATTAAATGTTTTAAAATTTTAAAAAAGTATAAAAATTAATAATATTATTAATAACAACTATAATATAGGTTAAAAATACGTTTAAATTAAAGTTTATAAATGGTGAATAGAAAATATATTTAATATTAATTAAATATTATATATATATATATATATATATATATATATATATATATATATATATATGTGAAAATATATAGAAAATAGGAAGAACTGGTTAGGTGAATAGTCCAAAGTTCCTTAGTATTTTGTTATTTTTTTAAAAATAGTGCTCGATACAAAAGTAGAGCATAAATATATTATTTATTTAAATAGCGATTTGGAATCATATTTTTAAATAAATAATTATATATATATATATATACACACACACACAAAATTTAATAACTATATATATATATATACAATTTAATAACTATATATATACACAATTTAATAACTATATATATATATATAATTTAATAACTATATATATATATATATATATATACACAATTTAATAACTATATATATATATATATATATATATATATAATTTAATAACTATATATATATATATATATATATATACACAATTTAATAACTATATATATATATATATATATATATATATACAATTTAATAACTATATATATATATACAATTTAATTATATATATATATATATATATATATATATATATATACAATTTTAACTATATATATATATATATATATATATATATATATATATATATATATATATAGTTATGAAGAACTTGGTAAACCGAATGGGTAATTCAAAGGGAGGATGAATATATATATATATATATATATATATATATATATACACATAATTTAATAAGATATATATTATCATACATAATTTAATAACTATATATGTATATACACACACATATACAATTTAATAAATATATACATATATAATTATGTTGAAATAAAGTTAATTTCTTTTTCTCATGGTATCTTTTTCCTTTTTCTCAGCTGTGCATCCTGTTCAGTGTGAAGGTTGTCATCGAGAGTCTTTCATGGGATTTCGATATAAATGCCAACGTTGTTACAATTATCAACTCTGCCAAGACTGTTTTTGGAGAGGCCGTACCTCTGGAAACCACACAGATACCCATGAAATGAAAGAATATTTGAGTTATGTAAGTTTAATTTTTATTTTTTTCGATGTTTTCATCTCTCTCACTTTCATATTTTATTCTATAATTTTTTAAGTTTTGTTATTATTAAACACTGTTAAGGATAAAAAAAACACCTGAATTATGATTCTGAAAGAGTGATGAAATATTTGTTTAGTTAAAGATATAAATATTACTAATTTTTTTTAAATGGATTGAAATGACAAAAGCTGTCAGTAATATTTACTATAGTTTTTTCATTGGAATCTATGTTACATTTTTCTAAGTCTACCACTTCTCCATTTATTTAACATTGCTGCCATATTGGATCTGGTGCTTCTGCTATGTATCCAGAGATTTTTGATAAAATACAAAGAAGAATTTGTAATCTTATCAGTCCTGACCTGACATCTCAGCTTCAGTCACTTTCCCACTGTAATAATGTAGCCTCCCTGTGCTTTTTTTATATAAATATTTTCATGTTAATTGTTCTGATGTGCTTCCCTCTTTGGTACTTCAACTTTATGAATTTAAGTGCAGTACTAGATTGGCAGTTTGGTTTTATTATTTTATAGTTGAAATGGCTAGATTTAACTGTAAGTTTTATGTCAAGTTTCTTCTCTTGCACTTCTCAACTGTGGAACTATTATCCAACCTTTTGATTTCCAGTCAAACTTTGATCTTTAAAAATTCAATGTAATGTCAGTTGTTATCTTCTCTCTTCTTCATACCTCTTCTTTTATTGTTCTCTTTCCTTAATGTTTTTCTTTTTCTCATAATCTTTCACACTCAATTGTATTTTAGTGGCTTTATTGCCTTGCTTGGGGTAAAATGATTAAAAAAGATTTTTTGAAGATCAAAGTGGCCTGGAAAGCATGGAGACAAAAGAGAGTTCCACAAGCAAGAAGTGCAAGAAAAGAAACTCAGCATAGAACTTACAGTTACATCTCACCAATTTAAATGTGAGTTGATGACACCTTGCTACCAATCTAGTACTGCACTTAAATTCTAAAGGCTAGTTACTATAGAGTTCATCTGATCAGTTACCATGAAAGTATTTATAGAAAAGACACATGGTACCTACTAAAACATTTTGATTGGTTGGTTGTTTTTGTTTAGCAACTCATCAACCCCTATTGGCTATTTAATGTCGAAATCTAAATATTTTGTACACAATTTTATAACTTCAACTATGGATATTTGTACATAATTTTATACTATCAAGGTAAATGCATGTTTTATAGATAATATAGTTTGTAGATGATCTATTCTAGGTATTACATGTTTTAGCATAACTCTATTTCTTCAAGGTATGACATTGTGTTGACAGTTTCAGTATTTTCCAGTAGTTTTCTCATGTTGGTTTCCTTGTAGCATTTATGTCTTATAGAGTCTAAGTGAGTACATTCAGTTAAAATAGGTTTCCTCGTGAGTGCAATTTGGCATGTTGTACATCTTGGTTGATCTTTATTCTTCAGCAAGTATCTCTACTAAAACACATGTACCCACTAAATTTATCATTTATAAGAAATAATGGTGGATTTAAAAAAGCATTAATTGTTCAAAAACTCATCTTATTATTTTTGACACTTGAGTAAAGCTAAAGTTCTGATTTCAAACTGTAGTAAAATGTACTTAAAATATATTCTTTCTGGTAATTATTGAATTTTTGTTAATTGATTATTGATTACTTACAAACAGAGACATACAAGATAGCATAAAGGTTATCAACGTGGAAAACAGAATCAACAAGTTGGAATTTTATCTGACGCTGATTATATTCAGTTAGTACAAAGGATAATAATATAACCTACATTCTTGACTTAAAATACACCAACTGCATTTCTGTTTGGAGGGGTAAAAGACCCTCTAAAAGAAAGATGGGTTACCTCCCAAATGGATACTTGCAGACACTAGTGTAAACCTGATCTGTGTCTACCTTTTTTGACTTTCATGTAAAATCGACCAATGTTTACTTTTTTTCATCTCTCATGTAAAATGGACCTATGTCTACCTGTTTGGACTGTCATGTAAAATGGACCTATGTCTACCTGTTTGGACTGTCATGTAAAATGGACCTATGTCTACCTGTTTGGACTGTCATGTAAAATGAACCTATGTCTACCTGTTTGAACTGTCATGTAAAATGGACCTATGTCTACCTGTTTGGACTGTCATGTAAAATGGACCTATATGTACCTGTTTGAACTATCATATAAAATGGACCTATGTCTACCTTTTCAAATTCTGTAAACCAGACATATGTCTACTTTTTGGGACTCTCACGTAGACCAAACCTGTGTTTACCTTTTTCAACTCACATGTAGATTGAAGCTATGTTTACCTTTTTGTACTCCAGTATATACTAGATCTTTGTTTTCTCATCTATTAATTCATTGTGATTTTTGTCATTGTATTTGACCTTAAATAACCCAACAAGAATTGATCCATCAGAAAACAATCTGACTTAACCTATTCTTCCCTGTACTCTGTACAACTGCCAAAGTTTTTGACAAAAGGCTATTTTGTCTCTGGCATACCAAAATCATTGATAGAAAAGAGTGAGTGAACATTTGGAAAAAAACACTCCTTGATAACTATTGTATCACCCATGCAACATTAACATTATCAAAAAATGCTGTTACATTCTTTGTCAGCCTTGACTAGAGCATGTGACTTATAGGCATTTTTTTTTAAAGTACCCTAATTTATAATATGCCAGTTTACTTGAATTAATTTATCTTAATTATGCACTGATTTATACAAGTATATCACTGTATAATAAGTATAATTCTTCTCAAAAGTTTAGATAACATTCATCCTTTTACATATGCTAAAAGTTGAGTTAAGTTCTTAGGACACAAAAAATGGTATTTAAATGAACAATATAAAAAATATCAGTTTCAAAAACAGAGTGAAAAATACTGATGCTGCTAAATGATTGCTGGAGTTTTCTGAGTAAAGAGAAAAAAAATCTTATTGCTGAATAGACTAAAAGATCTATTTTATCATATAATTGAATTAAGCCAGAGGCTTATTTTGCTTATTAATCACTGGAGAATGATAGTCTGAGAGTTTCAATTAAAATCAATGATAAAGAAAAATATAAAGAAATAAGATGAAAGAAATAATATTCAATAATAAAAATAACAATAACAGACTGTGAAAAAATGATTTCTATAAACAGTCAAGTGCTTATTAAATTTAAACAAAAATAGCACAGGATGATTTGTTACCTTTCCAACCGACTGGCTAAAAAACTGTTCCCCAAGTCTCTTTTTTTAAAATTTTTTTTTTAATCATTTCACCCCAAGCAAGATGATGAAGTCACTAAAACACAAGAGGTTACTGAGTGCAAAAGAATTTGACAAAATAAAATTATTAAGGAGAAAGGTCAATAAAAGAACAGGAATTAAGGAAACAGAAGATGATGATTGATATTGCATTTAAATTTTTGAAGGTCAAAGATGACAGGGAAGCAAGAGGCCAGAAGAGAGTTCCATAAGTGAGAAGTGTGAGAGAATAAATTGTTAGAGAACTTATGGTTACATATAGTGATTTCAACTGTAAAATGAGGAGACCTAGCTGCTAATCTAGTACTGCGCTTAAATTCAAGTCAAGGTACCAAATTTACAAATTCAATCACAGTATTAGATTGGCAGATATGATTCATCATTTTACAGTTGATATGGCTACATGTAACCATAAGTTCGATGCTAACAGTTTATTTTCTCATACTTCTGACATGTGGAACTCTCTTCTTGCCTCTTGCTTTCCAGTCAACTTTGATCTTCAAAAATTTAATTTTTTTTTTTAATAATTTCATGCCAAGCAAGGTGTTAATGCCACTAGTATGTAGGGGGTTACAGGGAGTGCAAGTGAAAAAAAAAGACTGAGAATAGGGAGGATTGAGGAAAGGACAAAAGTTGAACAGGATTCAAGAAGACAGAAGATGGCAAGTGATGTTGCATTTAAATTTTTGAAGATTGTAGCTTTCAGGGAAGTAAGTAAACAGAAGGGAGTTGTACAACTGCAATGTTCGATTCAAAATTCCAATCACTTGAAGAAGGCCGAAGCGTATAACAGCCAAAACATCATGAATATAACAACAAAGATGAGGACAACAGTCCAAACAATGTAAATAGTGTAAATAGTTATAATAGCACATCTCAGAAATATAGACATATTCTATTATTTGTCCTTTGTTTAAACATCATCATTATTATTATTATAAAGAAAAACGAGAAAGCCTTTATTAAAGGTTTTGTTATTATGTATCTTAACTGAGAATACAGTAAGTTCTCAGTATATTATAGGTATGACCAGACAGCAGTAAATGTGTGTATATTTTAAACCAAATCATAGAAACAATGAAGACAAACATGTAAAATTATATATATATATATATATATATATATATATATATATATTACAATAAACGTGCAATCAATTTACAAATACATGAATTATTCAAACAAAACCTAATACAAAGGTTAATGATTTAAATAGAGACATCCATTCATAAACAATTCAAATAGTACACAAAACCTCCAGATCCGTTATGAATGAATTGATACGGCAGAAATTTATATAAACAGGATCAATTCATTCATAACGGATCTGGAGGTTTTTAAAAATTATTTGAATTGTTTGCGAGATGGATGTCTGCCATTTAAATCATAATTTTTGCATTAGTTTTGTTTGAATAATATATATATATATATATATATATATATATATATATATATATATATATATATATTATATTTCTGTAGTTTACTGCTACCAGCAAGCAAAAATATTTCTTCTCCAGATGATGGCCGTTTTGGTCGAAACTAGTCGAGAAATCTAAATGAAATAGTAATAAAAAAAATGAGAGAATATTAATCTACAACCCAGTGTGTCTGAAGATTTTAATTTTTAATATTTTTTTATTGTTCAATATATATATATATATATATATATATATATATATATATCTAAGAATTTGAATGAAACCTGTTGTGTAATTTATTGGGGTTGTA